ATATATATATACATATATATATACATATATATATACATATATATATACATATATATATACATATATATATACATATATATATACATATATATATACATATATATATACATATATATATACATATATATATACATATATATATACATATATATATACATATATATATACATATATATATACATATATATATACATATATATATACATATATATATACATATATATATACATATATATATACATATATATATACATATATATATACATATATATATACATATATATATACATATATATATACATATATATATACATATATATATACATATATATATACATATATATATACATATATATATACATATATATATACATATATATATACATATATATATACATATATATATACATATATATATACATATATATATACATATATATATACATATATATATACATATATATATACATATATATATACATATATATATATAAAGATGTAACTTTATATGACATATTTAAGATTAGATATACAATATTTTGTCCCAAAACTCATGGTACATACATTAGGTGGTGATAATAGACAAGTAGACAAGAACAAATCACCATACTATACATGGTTCAAATGCAAGTCATAGCACACTAGAGAGTGCAGACTTTTCTTCTGCGTTTGGACTTTTAATTTTGGCGATGATGGTCACATAGATTATATTGAATACCTGTTGCCCAAGTATCCATAGCACAATAAGGGAGATGCCTGGTGTCTTTGTCAATGTATGACGGTCGTTCCTATGACAGTGTGAAACATGAGTAAATAAATAAATTTTAAGCAGTTCCTGTAATGGAGGACTTAATTTCATTTCATTTTGTTGAATAGAATTTTTTTCTTTATTTTATATGTCTCTATCTATGTCTGTCTTGTTACCCATCATTTTGTGACACAGCATGTTTTGTGCTCTAGCACTTTACAACTTGTGTTTCGAATATGGATTGTATGGTGATTTGTTCTTGTTTAGTTGCTTTTTATCACCCTCTAATGTATGCACCTTAAGTTTCGGGATACCCTGTATAGATAAAAATGAAATTTGCATCTAACACATCAATTAATTAAAATGAATACTCTAACTAATGTGCAAAAAAAAAAAAAAAAAAAAAAAAAAAAAAAACAAGTTTGTAAAAAAAATATCTTCAAATATGTAAATTAAAAAAAAGAACAAAAAAAAGAGAGGATCATAATTACCTTGCTTTAAAATCTCTTTCATTTTTTGAAATTTTTCTTCTAAGAGCTCCAGCTTCTCCTTGCAAGAATCATTTTGTCTGCTGAAAGTTTTATTTTTAAAGGACTTCTTCTCCATTATATCATAAATTTAAACATCTGAAAAGGAACAACTATATTTGTAATTGGATAAAATAACATTTTTTTTTTTTGTTCATTAACAGATATGAGATTAAAAATATTAAAGATCAATCCTTTGTAATAAAACAATTTTTAAAAAAATAAACTTTATTATATAACAATGTTTTAACATTACATATTTGCGTGATGCTAAAATGAGATTTTAATGAATAAAGGAACATGTGACAAGTAAAATTTTGAAACGCTTTGCCATTCTTAATATGTTATAGTCAGCTGTAAGAATAGAAGATTTATTTTCAATACGGGGATTTTCAGACGGAAATAGTTTTGCATACATTTAAAAAAAAATGATTTTAAATTTACTCAACATGTTTTTCAATTAATGTGGTCTCATTTCACAATAATATGTCATATTTAAAAATACTCATGTCAGTAGCATAAATTAAATAAACTTCCATATAAAACTACTTTTTTAGAAAAAAGAAAGAAAAAAACTTATCATATTTCTATTACTCATATTATAAATTTTTTAAGGGTATGTTTTAAATTTACCTAAATTATGTTGCATAAAATTTCTCACAAGAAGTATCTATATCAGAGGTGGAATATAAAGAGAGCATTTCCTTTTTCATTATTGAAGAAAAAGAAATTTATGAGTTAATCAATCCCAAAATACTTTAGCTAAAACTGATTGCATGAAACAAAAATTATTATTTATAAAACTAGAGTGCAATATTCCAATTTTTTATTTGAATTATTATATTTTTACTTTATTTCTTTTTTGCATATAAATAGTTTTTTTTATATATATATAAATTTGTGTTACGAATGTACTACATAACCTGGCTCATTAAAAGGAGGGGGGGGGAAACCGAGAACTAGATGTATCTAAACATGCACTGTTCATTAGTGAGTAAGTCTTTTCTTTCTTTTAACACTTGACTTTAAAAAATAAAATATATATTAATATATACAAAAAAAAAACATTTTTCAACACCTTAAAAACGTAAGGTTTCAAAAACTATCATGTTATATCTTCACATCAGGCTAGCAAAGGTGAGTTTCATTGTCCTGATATCACAAATGATATAGGACATGATTTAAAATAATAAGTCTTCAAGAGTAATTAAAATCACTTGTCTCATTAAAAATTGTATTGTTGAAAACTAATTGAACTAGTATTCTAGTTCATAACCATGATTTAATGCTTTCTTAGCATATGAATACAATGAGGTAAAATAATAAACAAAACACACTTATTATGCAGCATAAGAAGATATAAACTTATTATCCAAATTAAAAGCACAATAGTACATGGTTAAAATATTTTTAAAAAATTATCATGGGCATTTACAAATGTATTACGTTCATAAAAGCAAAACAATAACATTTGAAAATTTTCTGAGAATAAAGTCTGGGTATTATAGTTAACAACAATGTAATTACATAAAACGCTAATAGTTTGTTTAAATCTTAGAGTAAATAACCTTTTTTATTGTAATAAGCCAATTTATTTTAGTGATAGCTTTTGAAATTAAAATAACTTTTTAAAATGTAAAAAACTCAAGATTTTTTGTATTATAACAACATTTTTTAAACTGGAGTTTATTAGTTTGATATAAGAGGAAGCATTTTTTGTGAAAGGTACAATTATGAATATTTGACACCAGAAGCACAATTTAACAACTAAGGAAAGAGTGAGAAATAAAAACAAATGTAATTAAAGTATGGCATAGTTATAATGAGATGAGTCTGGAAAATAATCTTTTAAATAGCTGACTCATACCGCTACAAGAGAATTTTACAAAATCATTTTAAAGACCAATGAACATGAACTAGGCAAATAGAATTAGAAAATAAAAATTTTTACATTCATCTGAAATATCTAAGACGCCGAAATTAATTTCAAAATAAATTAAACACAAAAAAACAACGTATTTAATGAAGAATAACATTAATCTTTCGCAAAACTTACGAAACAAAACGAAGGCGCCGCTTCCCTCACTTCATTCCGAATACTCACTCAAAAACGAAAATAAACACAGCTGTTTTTTCCATCCAATAAAATTCCATTATCGAAAAGGAGAAGTTGAAGTTCATAATTCTCTTTAACTATTCGTTTCGATGGGCAGAAACTGCTTTTCACAGTTGCGGCCGCAACATGAATGGATGTATCTTACTTTCCCTTCTCGTCTGTATCTCAATTAAACAAGAAAATACTTATAAGCAATTATTTATATTAAGCAAACAAGACTGTAAATTCGCATATTTCATAATTTTAGAAATTAAGAAGTCCGCATGATTTTTTGAACCTTTTCGCATATGCGTTGAAAGATGACAAAATAAAATCTGGAGAGAAAATACCGCACCTGCGCCCGATATAAGTATTATTTTATACGAGGGTTGCAAATTAAATAGTGGCAACTTAACCTTGAAACTCACAAAAGGGCGCGCATGCGTAAATAGGGTATGGGTGCGGTGAGGTGGCGCTGTTGTCGATATGCAGAGCGCAAAAAACAGTCGATTTGCAACAACTACCCTTCGAAGGGTAGTTGTTGCGTGGCGTTAAAGTGAGGAGTTTCGTTTCCATCGCTCTAAAGCATGTTGTGAAAAGGCTTAATGACGAAAAAAGACGAGATGCTTGAATCCATCGTGCTACTGTCCTATATGGTAAAGCATTTGCTCCAAAGGCTTCCACTAATCCTCGATAGCATTCTGCTGCATTCTTGCCACGGGCAACCTCGATTATAAGCCACGACCGCTGATCACCTTTTGAAAACATGCTTTAGAGCGATGGAAACGAAACTCCTCACTTTAACGCCACACAACAACTAGCCTTCTAAGCTAATCGACTTTTTTTCGCACTCTACAGCCCCACCTCACAGCTCCCATATCTAATTTGCGCATGCCCGTCCTTCTGTGAGTTTAAAGGTTAACTTGCCACTATTTAATTTACAACCCTCGTAAAAAAAATTTACTTCTCCAATCAATTCCGAAAGTCATTGGTTCATTTTCATAAAATAATTTCAGCTTTATTTTTTTATAGAGTATCCAAGATAGGGTATTTGGGGTTGTTGTTGTTGTTGTAGTTCATTTACGTCGCACTAGAGCAGCACAATGGGCTATTGGCGACGGTCTGGGAGACATCCCTATGAATGATCCGAAGACAAGCCATCACAATTTTGATCTTCTGCAAAGGGGATGGCACCCCCGCTTCGGTAGCTCGACTACCTGCACGCGAAGTTGAGCACTTTACTGTAGAACAGTTTAACGAAGACCAATACCGCACACTCTCTGTCCCTACGCATACTGATCTAAGTGGTCACCCACTTGCACACCGACGGCAGCCAGTGATGCTTGACTTCGGTGATCTACTGGGAATCGTGTCTTAGCGATCAGTCCACTGCGGGACCGGTTATTCGGGGTTCTCAAATTATGAAGAAGAAAAAATTTCGTATTGTACTTAGTGATTGGGCATTTATATTATCTGTCTTAAGACAGTGCATTTATTTGAAAAATAAATGCGCTGTCTTAATAACAGGATAACAATATATGGGATAAAATTACCGGAAAATATATAATAACGGGATAAAATAACAGGACACTGTTAAAAGGAGGTAAGCAAAGAAATTTCGCCAACCTGGTTTACGTTTTGAAAGAAAGGATCAGTTTCTATCAATTGTATAATCATTACATAGGGAGTGAACCTAGGTCACTTTTCTTCAGTTGAAACATTTCTTTAAAAGATGTGCTGTTCCTTTGCGTGAGGTTTTAAAAGAAAACAATCTTATAATTAACAAGCATGATTTATTTATAATTAACAATATTTAATTTAGAATATAGTACTTGCGTCTCAACGCAACACTAGCTGGTGTTCTTCCCGATGCGTAAACATAGCCTTGAATGGCTAAATACACCGCAACTCCACACCCTTTAAAAATAGAAAATTAAGACTCTCTTAGGAGGCCTTTAAACCCTTTGGGATTTCCTCGGTTGAAATGGAATTAGTTGAGAAGTTGAAGATTGAGTACTTCTATCAACAAAACAGCTGGACTTGGTTTCTTGGTTGGAGAAGAATGACGTGTTTCCTGTGTTGATTTGACCTGTCCATATTGTTTCTTGTATAACTCCACCAGAATTAGTGGGTGCAGAAGAAATATGATCAGCGTCGATGCGTAGATTTTCACAGCTAAAACTATTTTGGGGAGCGTTAATAGTATTATTCAAGATCTGATCTCCAGTTGGCTGTATTTTATCCACGTGTCGTCTATAAAATGTACCTTGAACATTAACTGTGTAATGAAGAGCTAAATAATTTCTGATAACTGTTCCAAGTTTCCGTCTTGAATTGGGTGAATGATAGTTTTGAATAACCACTTTATCACCTTCGTGAAAGGCATAATCTTGGAAGATATACGTGTTTTTCCTAACCTTCTTGATTCTTCCGTCCAAGTCAGGAAGAACAAGATCTATTCTAGTTCTCATGTCTCTTGGTGAAGAAAAAAAAACATAGCCGGGTTAATCATGATTGTCATACATATTAGGCACGGTACGGTATTTTTATTTACGTCGCACTAGAGCTGCACAGAGAATATTGGTGACGATCTGGGAAACAACCCTGAGGATGATCCGAAGACAACATATCTATGTCACATCCCGTTTCACAGAGAGGACAGACACGCACCCCATCCAGGCATCCGTATATTCCAATTTTGACCTAAACCAGAACATGATCAATCTCCGATCTAGTGCCCACATAGGTATTGTGATTTGTTATGAGAGCTTGGATACTTTGTGACCCCGACAAATTCAGCGTACTCCAATTTTCATTTCTTAGGTCAATGAAGATCAAACTCACGACCTCTCGGACATAGGCTCAACACCATACCAGCCAGGCTGTCTCTGCCCATCATACATTCAGGACCGTTGCGATGTGCATAAGGAAGGTGCCTCTTGCTGAATATTTCCTGCAAAGTTCTGCATAGCACGGAGAGATTGCTTAAATGTGTGTACATAGCGCTCTGTTTGTCCATTGCTGGATGATTTGAAAGGGGCAAATCTCATGCGTAATGCTATTGCTTCGTATAAATGTTTGAAACTCTTGAGAAGTAAATTGTGTGCTGCTGTCGGCTTTTGCTGTTGTTGTTGTTCATTTACGTCGCACTAGAGCTGCACAATGGGCTATTGGTTGCTGTCGGAAACTAAAACTACAGGTAGTCCAAACCGTGAAAAATAGTCTCTGAGACATTCAATTGTTTTGAACGAGTTGACTGTTTTCATAGGGTAAACTTCAAGACAATTTGAATAGGTGTCAACAATGGAGAGAATCATTCGTTTAAAAATATGTCCTGAGAAACCAATGTGAACTTTTTTTCTAAGGTATATTGGAAAATTCTCAATGATCAGTGTCGTACATAGACTTAGATGCGCTCCCTTGCAAGAATTATAAATGCGCCCACTCTCAGACTTAACACTATATTTTTTAAATTATAACATGAAACAAGAACACTATGAAAATACATTCGGGAATTTATAATCATTCATTTTATTGTAATTTAAAGATTTTAATTTAAATTATTTTAGTATGAATTAATAAAGAACTAATAATCGTGATGAAAAGGCGGAATTTAGAAAACTATTAAATTGGAACATTATATACACTTACTGAATAGCAACATTGGAATGAAATTTATCTTAATAATACAAGAAAATAACTCACTATCTTACAATAATTATATTCAAAGTTTAGTTAAGGGTTATTTTTATTTATAAAGTGAATTAAAAAATATCTTATGAAATATAAGAATATTATTATTATTTTTCTTGATATTCATATACTAGAGTGTACAACTTTTTTGAATGAAAGAAGCAGAATGTTTTAGATACAGTTCACGCATCATTTTGTCGCTTTAAAAATGTAGGGATTATTAAAACTTTGGAAATTCGTAATGATAACCACCGAAAAAAGCGAACAAATACTACCTTAATTTAATATTTGCTCAAAATAATTATAGTTTTTTTTAAGTATTCAGGTGCTACCATGAGTCACAAGTTGTTGACCAATATATGTAGTGTATTATTTCTGGATCGTATTCCCGCCCGAGTTGGGGTAGTGTTATTTAATCCACTGCCAATGATGAACCTTTGTTTTTGATGGGTCAGTTTTAAACCAAGGACAGTTCAGTTTTTCGCAGATTTTTTCAAGTTTTGGTCAATGTCTTGCCGGTACACGTACGAATTAACTGTTGCTTACATTTTTACTGCCCGAAGATGCCCATGATGTAACTCGTCTAATATATTTGTTTTGTGGCAATCCAGAATACATACTTGTTGCTCGTTCATCCTGTAAACTGTAAGATATACTTAATCATGCTCATTTATCCTACCATTATAATTGTCCTCCAAACTATAATATTTGTAAGAGTTTTCCTTAATGTTAATCGAACAGAGTGGCTTTAGCTAAATCCTTGGCAGTAATGGGTAGCAAATTTACAATCCAGCGTCATTTAAAAACTCACTCTCTTCTCTTAGCGACTTTTCTTCTTGGCAGTTGTTGGTCACAATTATAATGCAAGCTTTTAATTCTTTTAAAAATTGATACTTAAATTTTTTTTTTTTGTAATATAAGATATGAAACGGAAGAGCGGGTCATTAGAGGCTGCTGCTGGATTAGAAGAACATTTACCGGTAAGTCTCGATTTCAGAAATTTGGTTCAAGGCAATATCCTTGAACTTTTATTTCAAGTTCAGATTTTAATGGTAAGCATGATAAACAGTCAGCATTGCCGTGGTCTTTAGTATTCCGGTATCAGATTTAGATAGAATTTAAAAATACGACTTTTTTAAAATTCGATTGTTTAAGAATTATGACAGATTTCACTCAAATGTAGTATTTTGTCATGCAGATTTTTAAAAAAAAATTTCTCGACTACTATGAAATAATAACAAATTAACTATTTACTAAAAATTACTTTTTGCATTTGGAAAAACGAATTTTATAATTGTGTGCAAAAATTTTCAATTATCTTCAATTCTTTAGATATGATGAAATACGCAATAAGTAAAATTAACATTATGAGGTCCAAACTTTGGACCCCTCTCCTAACCAAACTATTGATACTATATTTTCCAGACTGCTTCTACCATTATTTTGAGGGTCAGAAATCCTAATCTGTCGAAAATAAGGTATGTTTATTCAGAGAAATTACGTTTTTGTGTCTGATGTCGTAACTTAAAGTACCATTTGCACCAATTAATTAGCACATTTGAGGTCGCCCTCTCGAACATTTAAGATTGAGTTTTAGTACGTTAAAATCTGATCTCAAGATCAAAAGTTATTAAGGGTGGTCTTTTTTTTCCGCACTGAACACCGATCTAGTTTAAACTACTAATACATTATAGAATGATAACTCCTGATATCTACTAAATCAGATATGCATTTGTTAGTACAATTCGGAAAATGTTAGCTTGGATAATGTTTCTATGGTAGGGTTACCAGTCTATTCTTAGCAACTGAGGCTGCATCATTGAAGTAACCTCCGCCTGATGTAATATACTTCTGTAATCGGCTGTACCAGTTTTTAAACTACTTTTAACCCACTGGTGGTTTAGCAAAAGAGAAAATATGGTAAAATATCTCACCCCCATACAAATTTCTTTATCTGATAACACCGAATTGGCTATGCGGAGCAGACTGCAGGTTAAAATACCACTTTTTACGAGTAGAACGATAAGTGGGTTAAAATTCCTTAGTTTTCAATTTGGACGTTCCTAGACTTCGACATCCTTAAACCTTGTTTTCCTAGCAAATTTCTCAATTTCGGTAATAAAAGAACTTCGAGAGATTTGTATGCAGAGTATGGTAAATGGCTTATCTTTACAACCTCTGAAATAAGAAATTAGCTAAACATAAAAAGGTTTAAGTATGTCAAAGTCATTAAGAAAACCCCAGATTAAAATTTTAGAGAATTCCAAAAGAGAACTTTATAAGTTGTTTCTGAAACTTTTACAGTCGAGTACAGAATTGCATTACCTTAGGTTAAAGTTCTTTTCTGAACACATTAAATGGGTGCGTATGAATCCATATAATATTTTACGAAATTATTAAACCAGCCCTGGAAATTAATTGTTGCATTTCGTGGGTTTTTAAATTTTTAAGTTATTCAAAAAAATATTTTCTCGCAAATTTCCAAATATTCCTCAAAATTTGATATGCATTTGATGCTTTATTGGCACCATTGCTTTCTTCACATGGAAATTCTGATTTTTAATAGTTAATATTGTTTCTCAACTTTTGCAGAGCATTGCTGTTAACCCTTTTCAATCGTATTTTGTGAAAACTTAAAGGAAATTGGTATCAGAGAGCAGGCATATGACGGCAAAAAATTAATTTCCTATCCTCATTCCAGTGTATTACGAGTGTCAAAAAACCTAATACTAAGATTTTTTTATTTAATTTTATTTTTGGAAGCAAAAACATTTTTTATTCAATGTAATATTTTGAAAATATTTGAAAAAACAACCAAAAATTTTTTAAGCAAATAAATTATAATAAATGATAATAAATTTAAGCAAACACACGAAAATATGTGATATCAAATTCTATCTATGTCAGAATTCAATTCTAAATCATATTCCGTGTGTAGAATCAATTGTTAGATTTAATAGATAAGAGTCAGGTAGCTTTAAGCACACAACTTCTAAATATTAGTTGCTTTATTATATATGTTTGCAAAATGTAATGTCTTATATCACTTTAATTTTTAAATAAGTCTAAAAATAACACTTTTCTTCCAAACAAATTAGTTAAAAAAATTGTAAGTAATGTCAATAATTGAATTATTATTACTTTTAGAAAACATTAGGTTGCTTAAGACACTATTTACGTTAAAACTTCAGTGATGATAGTTTTTTCATTCTTTAGGTTTCTTTAATTTCATGTTTTTTTTCTACTTTTGTAAATATTATATTTAAAGTCGAATTTCAATCGAAGAAACAATTGTTTTAAATTGTTCCTTATTTGAACTCGTTTTCACTCGAACTTCAAAATAATTTTCTACTTCGTATTTATAAGAAATTACTCTAAATTCAATTGAACATTATTTTTAAATTTTTTTTTTACTTCAAGAGTTTTTATTTTATTGAGTAACATCTTCATAAGTGGAGTTGTTCTCAGGTTGAGAGTCATCTTTACCGTTTGCGTTGTTCTCAAATTGAGTATCATCTTCACAAATAATCCGATTCATTATTTTCCGCATTCAAGTTGTTTGTTGATTGAGTGTTGTCTTTATAGCAGCTTATCTCAGGTCGAGTAACATCTTCACCTTTGAAGTTGTTCTCAGGAGTAACATCGTTACCATTCACGTTATCAGGTTCAGAATCATCTTCTGCATTAAAGGTGTTCGTAGGTTGAGTATCAGATTCAGGCTTGCAGTTAATTTGTAGACGAGTGTCAACATTATTGCAGCTACTCTTAGGTTGATGATCATCATTGGAGTTATTCTTGATTTGAGTAGAAGTTTCCTCACTATAATTCCGTACAGATTCATAGCCATTTTTATCCCTACACATTCCTGGTTGACAATTTCGATATTGTATTTTTTCATAAGACTCACTCTCGGATTGTGACTCCCTTTTTTCTAAATAGAGGCTACTCTCCTCACGAGAGTCATTCTTAGATTGTGATTCACTCTCACTGAAGTTTTCCTCCAAATGTAAGTTATTTGCATCACCAGAATCATTTGCATTTTGATAACTAATTTCATTTTCGGAACTAGTTTCATTTTCAGAACTAGTTTCATTGAGGGAGGGTATAGTTTCATTATTATTATCATTTTCAGTTGAAACTGAATCAACCTCATTTTCTAAGTAGCTCTCATTCGAATTTATTCTGTTTTCGTGCCTAAGTCCAGAATAATCGAATCCAGATTCGGATTCAACACTAGTTGAAAAATTATTGCTAGATTCACTTTCACTTAATTGTGTATTACTTAGATCTGACTCTGATATAACTGAGTCTAATAAATTGCACGAGAGATCTTTAACGTTTCCATTAAATGCTAGTGATATGATAACCTTGTTGAAAACTTTATGGAACTCGAACAATCCTCTCATAAGATTATAAAAATAGGACATAGGACCAAACTTTGGTTTGTTAGATATTTCGTGTGTGATTTCAATTTCATCTCTGAAACATTTCATTTGAGCTGATGTAAATTTTTTACTTTTACCAACCTTTTCTAGTGCATTATATTGAGATAAATGAAACTTCGAGAAAGTTTCATTCAAATAGCTCTTGATGAAAAATTCCACAAAGCATAGAATGATGAAAGACATTAATTTGAGTGTACAAATAATTAATAAATTAGTTAGCCAACTAATTACATTCAGTCCAGAAACACTGGCTATTATACTCAATCCATCAATTCTAACATCATCAAGATGAGTTGTTATGTGCTCGAATGGGTAAATTTTTAATATAATTAAAATCTTTACATTTTTAAGAACTGCGTTCATTAAAAATGTTTGAGTAATGCTTGAAAGTTTTACAATACCATCGTAATGTATGATTAACTTGCTTGCATCTAATTCTGCCATCGTGCATATGTCCTTTCTCTGAAAGTAGTAATTATGACGAATTTCCTTTATACTTTTTAAGCCATAGACTCTGCCATTGAGTTTCAAATTGCCAGGAATCTTAATAAAGCCAAGGTTAAGCGAGAATTCATCGTCTTTATTTTGAAGAATATAATGATTGATGCTACAAAAAGTTTCTTTATGCAAATTGTCCTCTTTTGAAGAGAACCGGGAATAATCCTGTAGAGGTAGATTATCCCTATATCTAAGGTTACCTGTAAAAAAACGTATTGCAAAAAATAAGTACAAAATAAAATACTAGATATTAAGTTTAAATCATCAGGGTATTTAAAGAAAAATAAGCTGTTCAGCAATGTTGGAGCATTTCCTAGCAACAGAAAGGTGCTGATATTTTTATTTTTTAAATACTTCTCTTAATGTCTTTGATACGAGTCTAGATGTCAGTGGTTACTAAGTTCCATGAATGATTTAATAATTCCTGAAAATATTAGGTACATTATGTACCATTTTAAAATGCTTTGAAGTATTCACCGCGCGATATAAATTTCGGTACTTGACTGTAAAAGTTACATGTCCTCTTTCAGAATGCTCTTCAATTCTAATGTTGGGACTATCTTAATGTCTTCCAACATCCTTAAAACTTGTTCTTTTCGAAATCTTTTAGGTTTTTGACATAGTGAAGATGAACTATTCACCATACTCTTCGGTCTAATCTTTTTCAGGCTTTTTCTTGGTTCCGAAACTGAAAGATTTGCTAAAGAGACAAGGTTTAAGGTTGCTTTTCAAAAGACCTGTCGTCAAGTAAAATAAGGATTTTTCTCGAATAATAAGCTACATTCATAAGTGCTGCGAATTTGCAATTATTATTTTTGATTAATAATTGTTGCTTGTTCGGTTGAATTTAGCTTATTTTTGTCAACGTCCTCAATACTAATTCTGAAAATGTTGCAAAACGTCAATAATAAAGAAAAGCTACATTTCATTGAAAAAAAAAGAGCGATTTAATTTTTTTTTAATTTTTAAGAGTGACTTCTACGCTCCTTGATCTGAGCTAAAAAAAAAACCCACAAAAACTGCGAATTATTTATTTATTTTGACAATTTTCTTCTAGACGGAAAAAATTTCTCCAATTCAGCGACTTTCTAAAAGTTTAATAGCTTTCAAAATATATACGTTATTTGCCTATTCTAAAGCTCTGATAATCCTTTACAGCAAGATGGAATGTATAGTTTAAAATTCCAGTTTTCCCTCAAGTGTAAGACGCTTAGACTGATTTGTTTTTTTTTTAAATTTTCCTTCGCAAGAGAGTTTTGAAAATCACTAAAAGCATTCTAAAAGAGAACTCAATCTGCTTCTAAAACTTTCAATCTGCTTCTGAAACTTTTTTTAAACACGAAAGTGCATTAAGACAGGTGGAGGCTACTCTAACACACATTAAATGAGTATGTAAATCACATAATATTTGCAGAAGTTACTCCTGGAAACTAATAACTGCATTTTGTAGTAATGCCAGAATTTTCTTGGGTTAAATTCTGGCTTAAATCTTGGGAAAACCTAAAGAGTGTGGAAAAAGTGAAAAATCATAAGTAGAAAAGATAAACTGTATTTTATACATACAGTACGCTGCAGCTGTTGTTTTAACTTAAAGCATAAAAATAAAATATTTATGAAAATATTGAAAAAGGATTTATAGATAGATCGTTTAAGTAAAAAGTAATATTTGCATGTTTTTATTTGCTGAATTGTGCACATCCTCAATGTACAGTGCTTCAAAAGAAGAAAAAAATGGACCATCATGAATAACTTTTTATATAATGATCGGATCTTCACGTTCTAGGGCTCACTCTTAATGGTTCATGGTGCGACTTAAAATATACTAATTAATTAAAGTAGACTATATTTTAAGTTACGAAACCAGACAAAAAAACGTACTTTCTCTAAATGAACATGCTATTTTTTCAACGCATTCGGATTTCTGCCCCTCAAAATGTAGGTGGTTGTCGCAATCTCGGAAATATGGTCCCGTATTTTTATTTGCTAAATTGTGCAAATCCTCAATGCATTTATACGTACAGTACGCGTTTTTCGCACTACAGTACAGTACTGCAAAAAAAAGGACCACCATGAATAACTTTTAATCTAATGATCGGATCTCCATGTTCTTGGACTCAGTCTTAAATGATTCGAGGGGATGATTTCAAATGTGCTAATTAGTACAAATGATATTTTAAGTTACGAATTCAGACACAAAATCGCAATTTCTCTAAATAAACATGCCTTTTTTGACGTATTTGGATTTCTAATCCCCAAACTATAGGGGATAGCCCGCAATCTGGGAAATATTGTCTCAATATCAATTTGTCTCAATTTAAAAATTATCTCAATTTGGTCAATTATGGTTATTGGAGAGGGGTCTCCTGACCCCTCTCCTGACCAAAATATTGAGACAATAGTTTCAACCCCACAATAGTTTCAAATATTAGACCAAAGTTTCAACCCCTTAATGTTTATTTTATTTTTACGTATTTAGCTATATCTTGAAAACTTTTTAAGCGCACAAATATAAAAATCGTTTACATGGAATCCAGCGATAATTCCAGGCAAAATATAACTATTAGTAAATATTTGTTATTTTTTATTATTTTATACATAAAAGTGTCGAAGAAATTTTGAATTGTAAGGTATAGAGGTTTTTACATCATTTTAAACTGTTCAATTTTACATGGCAAAATTCAAAATTTGTATGAAATTGGTCGCATAGTTCCTGAGAAATCTAATTTTTAAAATATGGCCTCTTTAAAATTAATTAGCATATTTGAGATCACCTTCTTAAACCATTAAGATTGAGTCCTAGTACGTGAAGTTCCAAACATTAAATTGAAAGTTATTTAGGATGATCCATTTTTTATTTTGCGCACTGTATATATGCATTTTAATTGAATAAAGATAACGCAAGTTTTTTTTAAACTATATTTTCAATACTTTTGGGTTAAAATTTATTTTCTATTTATTTCGATTAAAAGCGTTACAACTTACAATTGAAAGTAAAAAGTTATTATTTTATATTAAAAAAAATCTATAAAAGTTTATAAAAAAACTATAAAAACCTTAATTTGTAAGTCTTTCTCCAGTTTATTGAGGCAGTATATTCACTCAAAAATTGAAATTTAGCTTGAAATCAACATTTGAAACTAGCGTAACATTGCTCTAAAGCAAAATGATACCCAGTTAATTTTTAAAGATGTCAACATGAATTAAAAAGTCAGTTTTACTAATTGTTAAATAAGCTTTGAAAAACATTTTAATCTCGAATTAAGTAATAAAGATGAACTTTCGATTCTCATTTTTTTCGTCAAAGTGAGAGTAGAAGTTAACAATTCAAATTTTTTTATTTGCAATTATTTTCATTAGATTTGTATAAAATAACAGTCAATTTTTACCCAAGCGTCTTGGTAGCAATAAACATAAATTGATTTTTAACTGCTCTCTAAATAGCTTAAATTTAGTTTTGTATGATAGTAGTACGATTTGAATTCTGGGAATATTGACATATATAAAATAATTACTCATTAAAGTACAATAAAAGATTATTTAGAAAATAAAAAAGAAAGATTTCTAATATTTATTGAATTAACAAAATTTCTAAACATTAGAAGAAGAAAAAAAACTGAAAAGTGTTGAAGTTTTACAAAATGTTGCTCGACCTCTCCTAGGATTGAAGCCTTTAATCACGATTGTAAATTTACTGAGAGGTCAAAGAATAAACCCTAGGGATTTAATGTATTGCCTATTATTTTCACAATAAATCGACTAAAGCCCGAATCAAAGCACTACAACTGATAGTTTTGTTAGTAGATGGGACTGATACATCAAGTCAAAGTTTTAAATATCAATGAATAATTTGAATAAAAAAAAGTACAGTAATCTGCTTATATACCGATTTATTCATCTGACATTAATGCATAGATTTGTGAGGTATTGTTTAAAGCTGAATTAAATGAGACCATAAACAAATAGATACATTAATAATTGAAAATTATAAAAGTTTTACTCATAAATTTTTGTTGTTATTGTCTTTATCTTTTAAACGTCTTACAATGTTAAGTATACAAGTTAAATCTTGTTTCCAAGTCTCTCTTCGTGCCAAATCAAAGAAAATAAATTTAAATCTATTGATTGACTTAATACTTTTGAAGTTAGATATTTACGCATTAATTAGTCTAAATAAAATTATGCTTTAATTTTTCTACTCAAACTTTTATTCTATCTGTATATAGACTCTTTTTTGGTTTCATTAAATTCAGCTTGAAAATTAATTTGAAATAATATCTAATTTTTCGAGATAGCAGTTTTTAATCTTCCCCATCCGACTATTTTCCTTTTAGAAGATTCAAAATGGCGTTAGAGCTCACTTCGGGCAGGGGGACTTCAAACATTCATATTAGATCTAAAACAAAATTTTTCAGGCAATTTCCAGCTAGAAACTGTTCCACTAAAAATGCTGCAAAATGGAAAGCTTAAATTTACAATCCGCATTCCAAAACAAAAAAAAAAATATTTCCCTAAAAAAAGATATTTAAGAAAAATTCAGTTGACAATTAAGTTTTTCAGATTTTGTCCTCAAAAATTCGAAAAATTATTTTATGCATTAAAAAAGTATTAAAATTCAAAGTTCGAGTTCATAAAAGACTTCGAGTATTTAAAAAATATTACCGACTTTTCCTTTCAAATCAAGAAAGAAATATTCTAAAGCTCTNAATCAAAGAAAATAAATTTAAATCTATTGATTGACTTAATACTTTTGAAGTTAGATATTTACGCATTAATTAGTCTAAATAAAATTATGCTTTAATTTTTCTACTCAAACTTTTATTCTATCTGTATATAGACTCTTTTTTGGTTTCATTAAATTCAGCATGAAAATTAATTTGAAATAATATCTCATTTTTCGAGATAGCAGTTTTTAATCTTCCTCATCTGACTATTTTCCTTTTAGAAGATTCAAAATGGTGTTAGAGCTCACTTTAGGCAGGGGGGAACTTCAAACATTCATATTAGATCTGAAACAAAATTTTTCAAAAAATTTCCAGCTAGAAACTGTTCCACTAAAAAATGCTGAAAAATGGAAAGTTTAAATTTACAATCCGCATTCCAAAACAAAAAAAAAAAACATTTCCCTAAAAAAAGATATTTATTTGCTTAAGAAAAATTCAGTTGACAATTATGTTTTTCAGATTTTGTCCTCAAAAATTCGAAAAACTATTTTATGCATTAAAAAAGTATTAAAATTCAAAGTTCGATTTCATAAAAGACTTCGAGTATTTAAAAAATATTACCGACTTTTCCTTTCAAATCAAGAAAGAAAGTCTTATAATTTTTTTAGTTTGCGCAGAATTCTCAAAATAAACTTTTCATACTGAAACTACTATCGTTAAATATCTAATTATTTATTTTCAACTGAAAATTTCCATGAGGAACTATTATAAATCATTTAGTTTTTGAGTTTGTAGAGTTATCATGTGGCATTGTATAAAGTTATTTCTATAGGGTGAGAAAAAAATAGCACATTTTACAATAAATTCATTTTTGCTATTCTCAATTGGTCTTTTTGTAATAAATAAATGATTTTGTTAAGAATTCTAATGTTTTCATTAAAACAACAAACTTTTCATTTAAATACAAAATATTTCCCAAAACCTCACAGACAATGTTTTTGTCATCTTTTTATCAAAATAATTCCTTATACATTTAGAAATTGAGAATTTGATAAGTGCATTTAAAGTAAAACAACATTCAGTCGGAATGTTCCCCAAGTTTGTAAAAATCAAGAATTATATTAAATTATTCTTTAAGATTTTGACATTTTTATTGTAGTTTAATTTTCTGAAAGAAATATTTAAAATATGGACGAAAGAATTAATACTTAATGCAGAATAATGAAGTCACGAGTAATATTGTCCCGAAAATCAATTAACAATTGTTAACCGTAAACGATAAATGTCTTATAAGTTGAAGAAATTTTAGAACAGACGGCCCTATCTGTAAGAAATAAGCAGCTCATTTTTGTGAATATTAGCCATTGGAAATAAATTTGAAAGAAAAAAAAATACAAGAGCTGTTTTAAATACACTGCATTTCATCAAAATTATCGTGATCAACATAAGTCTGCATAAAGAAAGCCTATGACTTTATTAGATGAATATATTAACATGTTTTATAATAAAGAGTGTAAAAATTGTGCACCAGATTTTATTTATAAAGTTGAAAAGATACGGTGCTCACTTCTTGCACTGCTTTTTTAAAAGCATCTGACATCAATTTTATGAAGAAAGAGTATAATTAAATTCACTGCTATAAAAGTATTTTATGGATTTGAGATAAGCTAGAGTACTTTTAGGCTGCGTGGATTAATTATTTTTCAGAGCAAACAGTAATTATTTTTTCAGATTTAATTTTTTTCCTGAAGTCGGTCGTGATTATTTACAAATTCAAAATATATAATAGTTTTAGATAAGGCTATAAAAAGAAAATAGAAATAATAAAAATTTTGCATTAAATACCAATTTAACAATTTATAAGAATACTTTCAAAAAATAAAATTTTTTTAACAAAATTTGTTTGTAATATTTTTTTATTTAATAAGTAAATAAATAATAGAATTTAGAAAGAGTCATAAGGAGAAAGAGTCATAGAGAGTTAATTTTCGAAACTTTTTACTTACTTAGAACTAGTTTATTAACTTCATAAACGGAACGTTTGATGAAATGTAAAAAGAAACTGAACACGAATTTCAGAGTTAGAAGAAACATTATGCAAGTTTTCTATATAGTTAATTCAAAAATGAAGAATGTTTTTAATTAATTAACTCATGGATGAAATATTTCAATACGAAATGTGATACAAAAAATTGCTTCTCAACAACAGCTTGACACAAACTTAGTTAACATTTGAAATTACATATGCTGCTTATGTTTCCGGTTATCCATTTTTGTCCACCATCAGGACTACAAACGAGGTGTTGGAACTTAAGTCCCGTGACGGGAACATCACGGATTCATGCCTTTAACTTGTAGGAAAACCTCAGCATTTAAAAAGGAAAAACACGCAAGCCTTAATTTGAAGTAGATAACGTAAGATTGTTAACGTTACATCTCTCGTAGCAGACTAATTATAAGACTTGGTTCCCAGTAGATCACCGAAATCAAGCGTTCTGTCTCCGGTGAGTGAGCGGATGGGTGACCACTTTGATTAGTATGCGAAGGGACCTAGGTGTGATATCAGTTTTCGCTAACCTTTTCCACTGTAAAGTACTCGAATTTGCGTGCAGGTAGTCGGGTAATCTGCAGAGATCTTCAGGTCATCTGCAGAGGATCAGAATTGCTAAGGCATTTCTTCGGATTATCATCAGAGCTGTTTCCCAGACCATCGCCAATAGCCCATTGTGCATCTCTAATCTACGTTAATATAGTGCTACTTAACATTATTCAAGATCCATGCAACTATGTGTAACGATCTTGGGTTCACCCTTAAGGATGACCCGAAGACAATACTGGTGCAAAAACCAATTACGCATAGATTGGAGGGTAATATGAAGAATGAAAAGAGTTTAAACAGAATAGAGAGTAAAGTGGCCGAGAAATTAATGTTTCGGATTGTAACACATATTCGTATGTTCGTGCCTGTACATACGAAGGGTATCGTTCTTTCGTAAAATTATTTGAGTATAAAGGTAGCGGGTTCTGTTTTCGTCATAATTATGGATTTACCCTCGGTTTCTTTACTTTGTATTATTTGTTATTGACTTTGATAATCCCACAGTGGACTGATTGTAAAACATGGTTGGACTAGATGTCATAGTAAGATTGTCCACGGTTAAAAAAATTCTTGAGAAAAATATGTTTTAAGTTTTTTGAATCAAAAACAACATGAACGTCCCTAAGATGTAGCATCCCAATGTCGAAAATAAAGTTTGATCAATATTTTTTTCTTCTTTTTGTAGAGAATTAGCTGAAGATATATTCATATTCTTATTAGAATTCTGTTTAAATTATTTGTGAATAAATTCTGATAATGTACTTTTCATATGATCTCTTCAGTATTCAAATTTTTCTTCAAAATCAAACATATTTTCTTAAAAGAATATATAATATGATTATTTTAAATTATTAAAGCTTTGGTTTAAACTAAATTTTATTTCGAATCAGATTCCGGGTACCTTGCGCTCTTTCAAAAATACTTTATTTTTTCAGGTAACTGTAGATTTAGATCATGCTTTTGTTCAGAATTTTTTTTGTAACTGTTCGTAAAGACACGGTTCCCGGTAGAACACCGAAATCAAGCATCGCTGACTGCAGTCAGTAAGGAGGTGGGTGATCACTTTGATCAGCATGTGAAGGGGAGAGGGCGTGGTATCGGTCATCATTAAATTGTTTTACCGTGAAGTCCTCAACTTCGAGCACAGGTCGTGGGCTACCAAAGCAGAGGATTAAAATTGCAGTGAGGTTTTTTATCAACCTCAGGGATGTTTCCTTCACCATCTCAAAGAGCCCATTTTGCAGTTCTAGTATGACATTGATAAAATACCTACCTATATTGTTTTACAGAAAAAATTACAATGTACAAGAAATAAAGGTATATTGGAACCTAGTTTTCTACAAGAAAGAGATGCATAAATTTTTAAAAAAGAAATAAAAAAAACTATGCACCAGATACCTTAGCTTTTTTGCAGATTAGTCTGCAGTTTTCTGTTAAAGTGTTTAATAGGATATCGTTGTCCGTGAGTTTATTTTAAGTAAGGAAGTTCTAAATAGATAAAGGTTCGACACATCGTGCTATGTATAAGCTAGACTAAAACAAACTGAAAAGAGAATAATTTCTGTGAAATAATATTTGCGCTCTTTTCATATTGGTTTAGCTTTATCGAAGAAAACTTTCGGCTTTTTTCCCTTTAATTTAGGTGTATTTTAGATAACAGTAAAGATTCGAACAAAAAGTTGATGTATTAATACCTTACACATTGCTAAGCATTACTTAAACAACTGTGATGAGTGTTTTGCTCTGAAAGAGTCTCAGATACGTTAGAAATATTTTTTGTTAGGCTTTATTTTCCCTAATTCCACTTAAAAAATTCTTTAAAAAGATCCTCCTAAAATTAGGGAACTTAATAAATTAAGCTTGTAAATACATTGTAAAATACGATATAACTAGTGAATGAACACTTTTTGAATAATTTGTGACGTGATCAATTGCAACTTGTCACTAATAATGCTGTTTAAAAGATGAAAATCGACCCAGGCTTAATAGAAAAGTAGCAATTTTAGATTTAACCTTTTGAAGCAGAATTTTTATTAAATAATTATTTATTAAATAATTTAGTTTTAATAAATTATATTAAATAATTTATTAAAACTAATTTAGGTCAAAATAAGAGAAAATATATTATACATAGCATTTTAATAATTTATGGTTATGAAATTAAGCATGGAACATCGGTGTCCTTTCTTTTGCGTTTAAGGTGGAATATTCCAAACACAGCTCACTTCCAAACAATAATTTTTTTAAATTTGCACTTGTTTGCAGTTCGTTAGATATAAGAGAAACAGTTATTCCTTATTGAAGTTTCTTTATAAAAACAAGTGATAAATGTTTGAATGTGAATGAAATTTTTTTTTCAAACTACTTTTTCTGTATTTTATATCGCATAAATATAAATCCGATAATCTAACAGATTTTTTTAGTAATTATAAGACTGTTTTTATGATTAAAAAATAACAAAATATATTTTAGCTTGTAAATAAAGGGTCAGAAAAAATATGTAAAATGATATCCGGTTTTCCAATCTGCGTCAAAGAATATCACAGTAATTCCAAAAATATTCATTAAAACATATATTTTCATAAATTTATCACACTTACTCAAAACAGCATTGGGTAAATATAATTAATTGTAGCAAAGTTTTGCAAGCCTTGAGTTTGAATTTGTCATATGGTTTGCATGCATATTTAGTATTACTTAAAGCTTCTTTTGATACAAAAATTTTTAGTTTTCAATTTTAAAACTTCGAGCAACTTATTTTAACAGGCCTAAATATTTGTTTACTTAGTTAAGTTTGGTCCTTTAAATCTGCTCTATTGATTTTCCTTAGTTAAGTTTAGAATACTTATAGGGGGGATGTAGTATAAAAATTCAACAAAAAGAGAAGAAATAGTTTTCTACTTTTTAATTTCGTAATTAGAATTTCTTGGTAGTTCTAGACTTATTTTGTCATTTATTGAAATTTTTTGATGGCCTCGCTTTGAAAGATATAGCTTATAGCTTAAAATGATTTCTTTGATATTAGAAAAATGTATTTTCTGAACTTGACTTATTATTTAAAAATTCACTAGTTTCATCATTTTTCAATTTTTTTGTAGGTCACAGAAAAATGTTCCGTTTTGTATCCAATTTTTTTCATTATATTTATTGAAATAATTAATTAATGAAGAATTTTTTTCTACTTCTTCAGATTCAAAACAGTGGTATGTATTATTGTTATGAATAATTGCATTTGAGAAAAACAATAATAGAAAGCCATTGAAATTATTTCTTTGAACCTGAAGTTTATAATTGAATGATTTCTTTTTACGTACATTACTTTTACCTGATCTAAAATGATAAGACAAATATAGGTTTTTAGGCAAAGTACTCTAAGTTTTAGCAACTCCGAATTGCAAGGAACATGTTTTATTAGTAAAAACTCTAAAATCATTAATGACAAATTCTTTAGATTTTTTTTTCTCGTTTATTTTCAGGCTTCAATGTAGTTCAGCCCAAGGATTATTTGTATCGTTTTCTTCTCTTCTGGAATTATTTCTAGGAATAAATGACATGAATTGGGAATTTAAAGGTAAAGAAGTAGAGTTCCTTTTGTTAAATTGTCCATTCTTGATGCTTATAATTACAAGATCATGCACTCTATTTATCATTTGATCAATATCCTTTTCCTTTGATAATGCAAGTACATTAGGTGGTGGAGAGGATGTTTTATACACTGAACTCCTTGAAAAATTAGGAAAATAAGGTTTTCTGATCTGTATAGGCTGAACTAGTTGTCTCTTTAAACTTTGTTTTAACTGGTTTCTTGGCCTGTTTGAAGTAGGGATAACAATCGATGGCTTTATTGTCATCCATGCATTAACTGAAGATCGAACAGATTGACTCCTATCCATGTCATAAGGACCAACAACATAGTGAGGCAAAGTATTTGCTTTTTTATTACTTTGAGTGCGAGGAAGCAACCAAGGAGCAAGTGCAGGCTTTACAATCCTGAATGTCTGGTAGCCAACATCAGTTTGAGTACTGAATAGTAGTTGCTTGTAACATATTATAAGAAGTAAGCAATGTTTAGGATAAAACAGTGAATTCATCTGAAAAAAAAATGGAATATTAGCTACACATATCTAATTTATTTCTCAATTGAATTATAAATTACACAAAGCCAAACACCGTGAAAAAATCAAAGTGATGTCACATAAACATACATGCTATTGTCCTTTTATTCTTTTGTTTCGACACCGAAGAAGTTTCTTCAATATGGAACCAAAAGTATAGTATGTCTGTACATTATTTGTGTTATTTTTACGCTGTTTAGCTATAAGTTACACAGCAATAAGTTTTATTGCATTTTAATACCGAAAATTCCGTTTTTCCGAGCACTCAAAACTTTTTGTTAGCAAATCTTTCCTCCTTTTGCTTTCTTTCCTCTTTATGTTTTAGTTTTGTATCAAGCATAGTTTACAGCATCATTTAAGTAGATCACCTTGAGTTAGTAAAACCATAATTTTTGAAAAATGAGTTTAGGGTTGTACAGCTATATCCGGTTCTTATACTATTTAAACTTAAATTAGTCAAGCAACGACCAAAAATAGGCCAGGATATCCTGGTTGGTAGGGCGTTGGGCCTCTGTCCTAGCGATCATAAGTTCGATCCCCGCCAGCCGAAGACTCCCCGAGTACAAAGTGGTGACAAGTGCAAGCTAAATCTGTCGGGGCAACAAAGTCCTCCAAGTTCTCATAACAAATCAATACCTCTGGGGGTACTGAATCGGAGATTGATTGTGCTCTGGTTCAGGTGAAAATTGCGATCTGCGGACGGATGGATGGTGTGTGAATGCACCCCCCTTGTAAAACGGGCTGTGACGTATATGTGTGGCAGAAGTCGAAATTTTGGCTATTGATGGCACCACTGGGAAACACAAGAAGAAGCGTACCTTAAAATAGGTTTGTCAGTATTGACAAGTGGCATAAGACAACAATAGCAACAAAAGACCAAAAATAATTTTAGTAGAGTATACACATGTTGCATCGCTTATTGCTCATCATTTTTTTTGGTGTTTTCCCGTTGATCTTTTCTAACTTTTGTAAGAATTGATTTTGCTGAAAAAGTTATTGGAACAATATTGCTTCTGATTTTGCGATTATGATTTATTTTATTAACCTTCTATTGTGTTCCTAGAGTGATTGGTCGACAAGAATAAAATAAAAAATTGTGTTTGTGTTAGGGGTTACAAGCTAATATTTGAGTGACTGACGAAGAAAAGAAAAAGCTATTGAAATCGTTCTCATGGCCACAAAAAAAGATTGGTCTTAAGACATCAAAACTTTATTTATTGCTTTCAGATACAGATTTTAATGAATAAATCTAAGCTTTATACAGAAAACAAACTAGTTTTGAAGTTTTCAGTTTCATTTTCTGCATTTGTGATTCTATAAGCATTGCTAATGTTTTTTTTCTTCTTTGCTTCAAAAATAATTTGAAACACACAATGTGCATACTTTTTTTTTTTTGACAAGGAATCTGAAAATGCATATTAAGGGAGGTCATTCATGAAAATCTAGTATACGTTCTTTGTCATACGGTTGCGTCTAGGTAACTGTATGGCAATGCAATTTTTACTTAAAATCTATTTACATTGTAATACTATTTACATTACAATATATTTACATTATTCTATGTTGCAATGCAATTTTTATTTAAAATCTATTTACGTTAAACTTTTTTGTAAAAGCTCCTTAGAAGTATGGTTTTAAGATCTTGACATTTAAGACTTAAAGGGACGATCACTCTTGACTAAATAACCCTGGTTTAGAAAATATTTCGTGCATTCTCAAAATCTAGATTTATTTTATATTAAATAAATTAGAATGTATTGGCGTTTCTGTGATTGAAAAATAAGTCATTTTTGTTTATTTTCGAAGCATATAGTTTAAATTCAAAAATGTTTCCGTTTAAAATATTAAGCAAAACATCTCTCAAAATCATGCCATCTAGTAATTTTTGATAAACACTTTTTTTAATAAAATATCATTTTTTTATTATATTGGCATCACTTTGCAATGGATTGAATGCAAGCAATAAAATTTGAATGTAAAAGTGAAGCATTAGTGATAGATGCATCTCAATGTTAATATTCTTTCATTTGAAAAAAAATCCTCGATAAAACGCAAATAAATAATTTTTGTTTTATAACTTCCTTCTGAAATGGAATGTAAAGGAAGTTAAACAGGATTTGATAGGAAGGTTGTTTCCGGTGCGTGATGAGATTTCGTTCCATAAATAATTGAAGGAAACATATAAGTTCATGCTATCAAAGTGTTTGTAGTTTTTGTTATCAAATGGAGTCAATATTGATTCTATTCTGAGTTAAAGAGTAAACTTGGACACAAGCCTCATTTATTTATCTTTCTATTTGAAAATAATTATCAGAAATATGCGTTAATGAAAGGAATTAAGGAAAAATTATTTTCTGTTAACGCGTTATGTTATGCATAGCATCTTAATTGCACATTTAGGCTGAGTTACATAATTTAAGACAAAAAAATACTGATGTCTGTGCCTGTAAAAATGATAAGCAATTGTTATTGACTAACAACTTTAAACTAACGGATTGTCAAATTGTTACTCTCTTTCAAAATACGAGCCACTTTTATTAATTTTAGAAAGCTCGCTGAATTAACAGGGTCACAAATATCTATATCACTCTTAACCAATATAAAATTAGGGAACAAATTTCATTTCATACTATTAAACAAGATTATTTAAAAATTACACCGACACTGTTGGGGATTTTCCCCCATAAGAATCTTTTCTTTTGCCTGTTTTCTTTCCTTATACAGTCATATTTCGGTGTTACATTTATTATAAACATTTATTATAAGGAATTATCATTTTTTATTTAATTTTGTTTCATGATACGAAATAATATTTGTGGAAAATACCTATTCATTTTGAGTTTCTCTTAAAAATTCCAGAAAAAAATTTAAAAATTGCTAGAAACATTTTAAATTATTAAAAAATTCAAATCGTACATTTTTCATTAACTGCCAAATATGATTCACTGCAAAATTATGAGAAAATTTTTTTAATTTTTGCTGTACATTTGCAGTATAAAAGAACTACTTTAATTGCTCACATCTTGTACAATTTTAAGCAAATATTTCTAAACAATTTAAAGCAATAATTTTGTAATTAGTTTTAAATTGGTCCAAAAATTTTGTTTAACTTTATTGACCATTTTTAAAATTATAGCATTAAAACGTAAGACAAAAAAAATTGTTTTTATAAAAATGTCCATATCTCCATAAATATCGAAGCTGAATTTACGAAAATTTGAGCAATTATCATTTATAATAACCAAAACAAATGTTACAAGTTACAAATTTATTCCAAAATTTTGTGACATAGGATGTTCAAAAATACTATTTTTCGTTTGTAATTTATTGTTGGTCCTTAAAACGTCTAAAAGCTTTAAACTTTATTGAGAAGTATGAAAAGTTGCATGACATAAACACTTCTAAAGTTATAAAATGATTCTTTAATTATTTCTTGAGAAATATGAAAAGTTGTATAGGTATAGAATGTATATAATTATAATATACCAAACATTTTAAGTGAAACATTGATAAATATTATTTTTAAGTATTTCATTGATTTTACAATTATCTACAATTAGATGGACTAATCAGTTACGATTATACATATTATGTTTCTTTGTTAAAATCACACGTATTGCAATTAGAATCGCAAGTATTTCCACTAAAATCTAGTCACTAATCGCAAGTATAATCACTAGTATAATCAATATTTTTTAATGCTAATTGTACTTTTTACCCATAATTTTAATTGCATTTTTCACCATATCTCTAGAATTATAGAATTTTTTGAGTGTAATAAAGATTGAGTGTAAAAAAATTTTTTTACACTCAATGTTGCACACACGCACACACTATATATATATAT